TGCAGGCCACGCACTCAGTTGTGTATGCTAAATGTGGATAAGGGAAATACTATTGGATGATTTATTCGCTGACAATTTGCAGTCTAAAAATATCGTTAAAAATAAATACCTTATAACACTGAAAGATTAGCATTTTAACTGAAATGTAATAAAGACACGTATAAAGGTAGCAGTTGAAGTGTGAAAAAGTAAATGAATTTTCTAGCCCATAGAAATTCCTGAAAAGAATTACACAGTCTTTCCGAGTATTTTGTTTCAAGGTGATGCAATCTCACCATTAAAAAAATAAGGAACCTTCTATTTTATTGAGAAAACCCCATCTTACCTGCATTTTCCCTTGTGGAGTTAGCCCCACCAGATGTACGTGTGAACAGAGATGTGTATATATTTTAAAAAGCCACATTGAGAAAAGTTGGCAAGTAGAGAAGAAATATATCACCTATATCACAATTGACCCAATAAATGCTGTTAGTATGTTGGCATCACATGTAGCCTTTTTTCTTTTTTTCCCTGATGCTAAAGATGGAACCCTAGGCTTAACACATGCCGGGCAAGTGCCGCACCATTGGGTACAGCTCTAGCTTTCCCTTTGTATTGTGGGTCGTGGGCTTGAACTCTGGGCTTGGGCGCTGTCCCTGCGCTCTTCAGCTCAAGGAGAGCTCTCTACTGCTTGAGCTACAGCGCCACTTCCGGTTTTCTAGTGTTTTATTCGAGATAAGAGTCTCACCAACTTTCCTGCCTGGGCTGGCTTTGAACCGCGATCCTCAGATCTCAGCCTCCTGAGTACCTAGGATTACAGGCGTGAGCCACTGGCACCGGCTTCTTTCCCTTTGTATTTTTAAGCATAGCTCTAGCTATATTTTAATCTTGTTATTTAATGATGTAAGATTGTGTCACACTTAAAAATCTTGTTATTATAAAGGTGATGTACAGAGGGGTTACAGTTACATAAGTTAGGTAAATAATACATTTCTTTTTGGACAATGCCACCCCTGCCCTCGCTCCCTCATCCAGTTTTTCCCTCTCATACCAACTCACAAGTGGTATAATTCATTTCAACATAGTATGCAGTGAGTCCCATTGCTGCATTTGTCCCCCCTTATCCCTCCATTTTTGCGCCTCCCCTTAGACTCCCAAAGACATATATATGAACAAACAGAACAAAAAAATGAAAACAAAACAGCAAAAAAGAAAAAAAAACTTGTTTCCATTTCCTAGAATCCATTTTGATAGTACTATTGTGCATCCTGTAATGCACATAGGCATTGTGCCTTTCTGCTCCTCTCCTAAGAGTGTCCACCTCTGGTCTCACTGTGTTATTCAGTATGCATACGAGAGAAAACATGTGATTGTGTCACATTTTATTGGATAATAGATAGATATATTCTTAATTTAACTTTAGCACTAAAGTAAAGCTAAGATGTTTTCACATACTAAAGATATATTTCCTGGCTCACTGCATTTTTTAATATGTTTTATATTACTCACTGCATTTTTGGTCAGATTTCAATGAGCACCAAAGTCTCTATATCAATAGTTGATATAATCAACATGTTAATTCATTGAACCTCTAAAAGCTTATTTCTAAATCAGAGTTCACAATTAAGTTCTCAGAACTGGAGGTGAGGTTCAAGTACCAGCCTTGAGCAAAAAAGCCAAGGGAGAATGTGAAGCCCTGAGTTCAAGTCCCAGTATGGCACAGGAACAGTGGTGATATTCCCCAGCAGCAGTGGTTTCCAGCACAGAATATCTTTTTACTTGATTCTGCTTCAAGTTTTCAGCAGGAGTCAGGCGCTGGCGGCTCACGCCTGTAATCCTAGCTACTCAGGAGGCTGAGATCTGAGGATCACGGTTCAAAGCCAGCCCGGGCAGGAAAATATGTGAAACTCTTATCTCCAATAAACCACCAGAAAACTGGAAGTGGTGCTGTGGCTCAAGTGGTAGAGCGCTCGCCTTGAGCGGAAGAGCTGTGGGACA